ATCTCTAATATTTGTTTGTTGGTGTTTTTGAGGGGGTTCTATCTAAATTACTCTATCAAATGATAACAGTTTTATTTCCTCCTTTCAAATCCTTACACCTCTGATTCGTTTTCTTTATTTTTCTTTATTTTTTAAGGATTTCTTTTATTTTTTTTTTCCTTTTAAGATTTTATTTATTTAGTTGACAGAGAGAAACACAGCTAGAGAGGGAACATAAGCAGGGGGAATGGGAGAGGGAGAAGCAGGTTTCCCACCAAGCAGGGAGCCCAATGTGGGGCTCCATCCCAGGACCCTGGGATCACGACCTGAGCCAAAGGCAGACGCTTAATGACGGAGCCACCCAGGCGCCCCCTGATTTATTTTTCTTAGTGCCTAAGACCTTCAATAAAATCATCATGATTTTAAAGAGAATGCTTTTACCATTTTCTTGTTTTGGTTGATGATTACTCTGGTTTTTATTTTTATTTTTCTAAATGTTGTTTTTTAAGTAAGGGCATTCTGTTATTAATTTTTTTAAAAAGATTTTTATTTATTTGACAGACTGAGATCACAAATAGGTAGAGAGGCAGGCAGAGAGGAGGAAGCAGGCTCCTTGCTGAGCAGAGAGTCCAATGCGGGGCTCGATCCCAGGACTCTGGGATCATGACCTGAGCCGAAGGCAGAGGCTTTAACCCAGAGCCACCCAGGCGCCCCCATTCTGTTATTAATTTAGTGAGTGTCTTTATTGTGAAAAATTTTCAAGTGATTTTTCTGCACATATTGTAATGATCGTGTTTATTTTTCTTTTTTAATAGATTAATGCAGTCAGCTATGTTAATGATTTTTCTAAATATTATATCATCCTTCATATTTGGGATAAGCCCAGTTGATCATGATATATTCTGTCTTTATGTACTGTCAGATTTAATTCAGTATTATTTGTTTAGTGTTTTGCATTTGTATTTATAAATGAAATGGACCTTAATTTTCTTTTCTCCTAATGGCTTTGATTAGTTTTAGTATTAGGGGTTTGGTAGCTTCATGGAATGAATTGGAATTTCCTCTTTCTTTTATTGTGCCAAAGAATTTATATAAAGTTTAGATGATCTTTTTTTTCAGATTTTATTAGAATTAGCCTATACAGTCAATTCTGGGCCTGGTATTTTCTTTGTGAGTATATAAACTGTTGGTTCAATTTAATAGTTAAAAGACCATTTAAGACACTTATTTCTTCTTGATTTGGTTTTGATAAGATTTTTTTTTAAATTTCTGCATTTTATAAAAATCTTTCATATGGATACTAATACCCATATAAAGCAAAATTGTTTCATATGGATATTAGTATGCCCTTACTCTTTTTAACCTTATTTTATTTTATTTTTTAAGATTTTATTTATTTATTTGAGAGAAAGCATGAGCAAGGGGAGGGACAGAGGGTTCTAGAAGCAGACTCCCTGTGGAGCAGGGAGCCAACGCGGGGCTCCATCCTAGGATTCCAGGATCCTGACCTGAGCAAAGGCACATGCTTAACCCACTAGCCACCCAGGCACCCAATATTTGTTGTTGTTGTTATTGTTGTATTCCTGACTCCTAGAATTTTGACTTACATATTTGTGTGATACAGGTTTTAAAAAGCCATTAATCTCACCTTTTATTGTTTCATATCTTTTTCATAGGGTAATCCAGCTGATCTTGTTTCTGTTTTCAGCCATCTTCAATCCTTGCTGTAAATTGTCATCTGAATCTTTCATAATAAAAACCCTATTTTTATTATGTTATTTTCCTATTAAAAATCTTCTGCTCCTAGGGCAAACTACTAATCACTCAAGGTCAGTGATTTTCAAGGTAACAAATGATGCCGTACCCTGACCACAACCATTCTAATACAAACCAGTATGCTTATTGTCTCTTGAACATACCACGTGAATGTGTTCCTTTGTTCAGATCCTCTTGCTTCCCTAAATGAATTTCCTTCTCTATTCTCTCGGTTCTGTCAAGCTTTCAAAGCTCTGTTAAAATTTTATATTCATTGAGAAAGCTATGATACTTCAGTTAAAGATGATTTCTTCCTTCATCATTTTGGTTTTCTGTTCATCTCTTTTTCATGTATGGACTTTTTTCTAAATTTTTCATAGGCAGGGCATGTATACTTTTTCGATTTTGTGTTTATTTAGAGTCACCTTCCCTTTAGGACCCCACAGTTTTATTCTCAACCTTTTTTTCCCCTTGACTATAAATAAATACTGAAAACTTTTTTATTTTATAGCTACACCTTAGTGAAAATTGACTGTGATTTATAATGCAGTACTTAAAACTATTGTAGGAGCATTCCTCTGAGCACCCACTATATTCTTTTGTATAAACTATGAGAAGAAGTTATTCTCTAGTCCAGGGGTTGCTAGTCAAATGGCTGTAGTATCAGGTTGGCAACATGCATGCGTGAACTGGGTTGTCTGTAAGAAACAGGGAGTGGGAGAGCCTGGATGAACCAAAGAATATATGTTCCCTCAAAGGAATTCAAACTAAATTCTTAAGGTTCTTTCTGGGCCAGCCCTACTTGTGACCTCTTACTCTAGCCTTTTTTTTTTTTTAACTGTTGAACTGTACTACTGTGTTTGAAAATGTGTTACATGCCAGAGCATATAATAGAATACTCAGGATAAATTAGAGAAAAAAAAAAAAAGTTGGAAATTATAAAATAATTTATGCTGCAGTGAATTTTTTGTGACAGGAACTAAAAGTTTTTCCAAATAGATGGATGTAAATGATTCTTATGTGAGTTTCATTGGGTGAAAGACCTCTCTCTCATTCACTATGCATCCCAAACACCACAATGTATGGAACACCTACACTGTAGGTGCTTAGTAAATACATGAATGAGTGTATGGAGGTACCCTTTTTAAGGTCTTTCTTTTGGCAGTTCTATGCTATATATAGCATAACCACTTGGTGGCGCTAGACTCATTTTAAACCTGGAAAGCTATTTTTATACGCAGGCACACCATGATTAGTATTCTTCATACACAAAATAAGCTATAGCAAACCATAGACAATGTGTATCATTATTAATATTGAAGGGGAAGTATTAACCACTGGATTTTTTTCATTTTTAAAAAAATATTGAACCTGATTATAAGAAAAATGCATGTTTAACGTATATAACTTGATTACTTTGGAAGGAGCTTTTTTTTCCAGTTCTTTAAAAAAGTTTTCTAAAGTGATGGATTACAGATTTGAAGTCCTTAGATTATAGGAATGTTTGAGAGTATTCTCTGCCATAGCCTCAGCATCTAACCTGGCACTGGGTACATAGTATGTCCTTAATGTGTGAATTTGAAAGAATGTGTGAATGAGTATAAATTTTAACTTCTTCTAACTTTGCTCCTACCAACCCATTCCCAGATAATTTCATCTCATATAAATTTGGTCCAAGGTAAGGGGACACTGAGTCTTACTAAGTTTTAGTAAACCAAACCTTTATGTAGTCTCCTTTAATCATTGAAATTTCTTATCCAAATTTACTAAAGAATTGTGATTCAGAGAAAAATACATATTAAAAGAAATCACTATTAATTGGATTCTAGATTTCCTGTTACTTTTCTCTGATTTGTCAGTTCTGAGTACAAGATATTATCAGAGAGGATATCAGAAATGTGGTGGTATTGTTGTATTTGCTTGAGAATTGGGTATAAGAGAATGTTTCCTAGTAGAGAAAGCAGTCTTATCGAGGAATTTTTCAAACATACTGCTGCACATGATCTAAGAACTGGTGGATTTCACAAGACCTCAAAAGCCTCTGGCAATGTAATAAGTAGAGGACTGTAAGAATTAAATACAGAAAATAATTGAAAGTTTTTCTTCTGAAATATGGCAGGATATAAATAGCTTGCTAAATTGTAAACGTGTAAGTGAGTTAGCATTTTGGAAAGACTCTAGAAGATAGTATTTAATTATAATGTAGTAACAAAATAAACAGCAATAGTACTAAACTGTATTTTTAAAGGTCATTCACCAAATTTAGTTCAACTTTATAATTAACCTTGCTGGTATTCACACTGATCATCTGAGGTTCTTTCTAGCTCTATAATCTCAACACTGTGTAGGGGTTATAGGAAATATGGAAGAAGCCCTTGACCACAGTAGGTTATAATCTCATTAGAGAGACCACATAAATGTACAGAGTCCGCCTAACATAGTGGCTGACTGCACAAATTCTAGAACTGAGACTATCTGCCTCTTGCTTATTAGCTTTGTGCCCTTGGGGCAAGTTACTTAATTTCTCTGTGCCTTAGCTTCCACTAATGTAAAATGGGGATAATAATATTACTACGTCTTCATAGATTGTTGAGAGAATTAAAAGAATTAATACACGTGAAGTGCCTAGAAAAGTACCTGGCACATAGTACGTGCTATCTACATGTTTTTTCACTCTTACTAAAATGTAAGGTCCACATAATTTGCTAAATAAATTGTTAACAACTAGATGACAGCACTGTAAAGACTGTATAGGACTGAGCTGAAAAAAATGTGTGGACAAAATGTATCCTCTCTAGGAACTCGAAGGTAGAAACTAATAGCAATTGTTGTTGGATAATTTCTCTAAAAGCCACCTAGGTGAGTTGGAGCCTATGATGAATATGGAAATATGGGTTAAATTTGGAGAGGCAGAAACGAATTTAGGAAGAAGTGTGAATAGGAGGGAGGACAAGTTATTTTGGCTTAATCAGCTGTGTTTAAGATTAGGAAAGATTTGTCTTATTACCCTAACTGGTTGGTTTCACTGATGTTATGAGTTTATTTAATTTATATGGTTTCCTAGAATCCTCAACTCCAGAATTACAGCAAATTCCTGAAAATACGTTAGAATGGAATTAAACATGCTTATTATGTTTATGTTAAGACTATATGAAATACATTTTGAAAACTATTAGTATTATTCATATTTTAGAGGGCATTGTCATTAGTTAAAAGCTGCTTTTTAAAAAACAAATTGATAATATTTTTGCTTTTATGTTTTATAGGTAATTAACAATGCTTGTGCTACTCAAGCTATAGTAAGTGTGTTATTGAACTGTACCCATCAAGATGTCCATTTGGGAGAGACATTATCAGAATTTAAAGAATTTTCACAAAGTTTTGATGCAGCTGTGAGTATACTCTTATTATTCCCAAAATGCCCTATTTGTAATAGTTCTCCTTTTAATCGGCTACTTTAACAATTTATTTTAGATGAAAGGTTTGGCACTGAGCAATTCAGATGTGATCCGACAAGTACACAACAGTTTTGCCAGGTAAAGAGACTTTTTATTAAGTAAACACTTGTTCTTTTTTGCTTGTTTATCTCTCACTATTTTTTTTTCTTCTTCATGAAGACAGCAAATGTTTGAATTTGATGCAAAGACATCAGCAAAAGAAGAAGACGCTTTTCATTTTGTCAGTTATGTTCCTGTAAATGGAAGATTGTATGAATTAGATGGATTAAGAGAAGGACCAATTGATTTAGGTAATCTGGTTCCTGTTACAAGTATTGCACTTTTGACAAGGAAAAAAATAGGGTATTCTCCTTTGTTTTTGCCGCAACGCTGCTTAGATATTATTTTATTTATTTATTTATTTTACAGATTTTATTTATTTATTTAACAGAGACACAGCGAAAGAGGGAGCACAAGCAGGGGGAGTGGGAGAGGGAGAAGCAAGCTTCCCTCGGAGCAGGAAGCCCGGTGCAGGGCTCGATCCCAAGACTCTGGGATCATGACCTGAGCAGAAGATAGATGCTTAACGACTGAGCCACCCAGGCACTTTTTTTTTAAGATTAGATTTTAGGGGGATTTTAAGGGGAAGATTTTAAGGGGAAGGTGACTGACTGTAAGGTAGTATAATGTCATGAAAGTCTTAAGCTTTTCATTAGCTTATAAGGTTAAATAAAATGAGTAGAGAGAGCCCCATGCAGGGCAATCCCAGGACCCTGGGATCATGACCTGAGCCGAAGGCAGAGGCTTTAACCCACTGAGCCACCCAGGCGCCCCTGAGGTTTCTGTCTAAGTAGTGCAATAATATGCTGTTCTTTGGACCAGAGGGTAGATATGTCCCAATTCCACCCATCTCTAACCTTAAGCAGAAATGATAAATGGTTAGTTAGCAAGGTAAAGGGTATAATTGTTAGTTCTGATATTGTACTAAAATCACACGCTCACAAAGAATTTTAACTTTTTATTTTTAGCTCATTGAGTTTCGTTTTTTAAAAAAAATTAGGTTCATTTTAATTTCAACAAAACCTGTTTTTATTAAACCTAATGTTATCTGCTGTTCATAAAACTTTATAGTTCTATTAGATTAAAAAAAGAACCTAGGTTCATTTTGTTTATACTTTTTGACCATGTCCCCTGCATAGAACCAATAATTCATCTATGCAGATTTACATGTTACCTCTATATTTAAAAATATTTATTTTTTTATGTCACAGAAAAATATAATTTTTAAAAATTCTCTTGAAGTTTTTTGTAGTTTGGTGGTTAAACTGATCTCTATATTTTCTCTGTTGGCTTCTATCTGGTCACTTACTCTGTATTTGTTAGAACCATCAAATACAAAGGAAGTAAAAGATAAAGTAGAACATCCAGTTTTGCTATACATCTGGTGGCTATGCTAAAAATTATGGTGAAAAAGAGGATTAAAACAACTGGGTAGAATTAGTTTTGCATTATGTATAGATTTCAGTTTTTTATTTTATAGTTATGGTAGGGAGTCAGACTGATAAGGACTGAATCCTTAATTGCTACTAATTTGTGTGCTATTTTTCTTAGCCCTCGGTTTTACTACTGTAAAATGGTATTCTTATTTCACAAAGTTGTGGATTTTAATGGGATAACTCCTTAATGAATTACTTTTCCATACATTTGTTGAGCACCTACTAAGTGATGCAATAATGTAGTAATGCAAATTATACTCATGCTTTCTTTGCCTTTATCTTTAAATTGAAGCTTAACATTGCTATGCTAAAAGGATTTTTACCATCCTGAATTTTCCAAAATATTTATAAGAAGATATTTTAGACTAACTTTTGAAATAATTTTAATGTTGATTTTATTTGATTTAATTGCTTTCAAATTTCTTTCTAGGTGCATGCAATCAAGATGACTGGATCAGCGCAGTGAGGCCAGTCATAGAAAAAAGGATACAAAAGTAAATGCTCAGCTAATCTCACTGGCATAGTATTCTAATTTTTAAACATTTTCTTTCATCTTGTATTTTATTATTATTTTAGCAGTGCATGAACATCTACTTTTGATTGGATTAATATGTTCAGGAAATCTATTTCAGAAATATTTAAATTCTACATGGTAATATGTCCTCTTTATAAAGGTTAAACATGCAGATCTCCATTAGATATTTTGTATGGTTGTTTTGTGGAGTTGTTTTTAAGCATCTTTTTAAATTAAATTAAAACCCTTATTTTGAGATAATTATATATTCACATTCAGTTACAGAAATAATACAGAGAGATCCCATGTACCTTTTACCCAGCAGTGGTAACATCTTATCAAACTAGAGTACAGTGTCAACAGCCAGGATGTTGACCCTGATGCATTTAAGGTGCAGAATGATTTCATGAGCACAAGGATTTCTCATGTCGTGGTTTTAGAGCCACAACCACTTCCTCTGTTGCCACTCTCCCCTCCCATCTTTAATCCCTAGTTTTATCATTTTTTTCAGTTAAAGAATGTTATATAAATGGAATCATACAATATGTAACTTTTTGGATTGGCTTCTTTCACTCAGCATAATTTTCTGGAGATTTATCCAGGTTGTTAAGTACATAAGTAGTTCATTCTTTTCTAATGGTGGGTAGTAGTCTATGGTATGGGTAGGACCTTTTTTTTTTTTTTTTTTTTTTTGCTCATTTACCCATTGAAGGACATGTGGATTGCTTCTAGGTTTTGGCCATGATGAATAAAGCAGCAGTAAACATTTGTGTACACATTTTTGTGTGAACATAAGTATTTATTTCTCTGAGATAAATGCCCAGAAGTGCCATTGCTGAGTTGTAAATGCATGTTTAATTTTCTGTGAAACTGCCAGACTCTTACAGAGTGTATCATTTTTCATTCCTACCAACAGTGGATGATTGATCCAGTTTTTCCATATCCTTGCTACCATTTGGTTTTGTCAAAATTTTTTATTTTAGCCATTATAGTAGGTGGTAGTGATATTTCATTATAGTTTTAATCTTCATTTCCCTGATGACTAATGATGTTGAAAATCTTTTCATGCCTTTTGCCTATTTTGTGATTAGATTGGTTTTGACTGTTGAGCCTTGAGTTTCTTTATATAGATAGTACTAGTTCTTCATCAGACATGTTGCCTGCAGATATTATCTCCCAGTCTGTAGCCTATCCCCTAATTCTCCCAGTACAGTCACAGAGCAAAAGCTCTTAATCCCAATGAAGTCTAATTTATCACTCTCTTCTACTATGAACTGTTTTTTGTTGGCAAATCTAAGAATTCTTTGTCTAGCCTGAGATCCTGAAGATTTTGTCTTTTTCCTAAATAATTTATGTTTTAACATTTCACATTTAAGTCTGTGATCCATTTTGAATTGATTTTTGTACATGTTGTGAAGTTAGTCAAAGTTCATTTTGTTGCCTATGCATGTCCATTTACTCTAGCACCATTTGTTGTTATCCTTCCTCTAGCAATTTGTAGAATTATAATAACAGTTGGGTGTATTTATGTGTTTGTTTCTGGGTTCACTACTCTGTTCTGTTGACCTGTTTGCTCTCTGACAGTCTTACACAGTCTTGATTACTATAGCTGTATTGTAAGTTTTGAAATCAGATAAACTGATACCTACAACTTTATTCTTTTTCTTCAAAATTGTTTTAGCTGTTATAGTTCCTCTGTCTTCCCAGATAAATTTTAGCATAATCTCGTGCATATCTATAAAACTTCTTGCTGGGATTTTGATAGGAATTGTGTCAAACATTTATATCCATTTGGGGAGAATTGGCATCTTTACTATGATGAGTCTTCCTGTCCATGAACATGGTATTGTCTCTCTATTTACTTTGATCTTCTCTAATTTCTTTCATCAGCATTTTGTACTTTTTAGCATACAGGTCCGGTACATGTTTTGTCAGATAATAAAGTACCCAAGTACTTGAGTCTTTTGATTGATTACAAATGATACTTTATTTTCATATTTGATTTCTTTGATTATTGTTAGTGTGTAGAAACACAGTTGATTATTTTCTTTCTTGCATACTTTGACGTTATTGAACTCATGCACCAGCTTTAGAAGTTCTTTGTGAGTTCCTTGGCATTTTCTTCATAATCATATCATTGGCAAATTGGGATAGTTTTGGATTTGTCTCATTTCAGTTTTAATCAGTTTTTACTTTATGTATTTTGCAGGTCTGTTGTTTGGTGTGTAAACTAAACATTTATCATTATTTCTTCTTAGTGGATTGATCTTTTTATCATTATGTAATGTCCCACTCTAGTAAATTTTGTTTTGAAATTTACTTTATTTCATAGTGATATAGGCAGCCCTGTTTTCTTTTGATTAGTGTTTTCATTCAAGTTGAGATTTTCATCATTTTTAATATGACAAATGATTACAGATTGAGACCTAGACATTTGTGGTTTTGTATAAAAAGACTCTGGATTTTTTTTTTTTAAGATGTTTTATCTGTTTGTCAGAGAGAGAGAGAGAGAGAGAGAGAAAGAGAGCACAGGCAGGCAGAGTGGCAGGAAGAGGCAGAGGGAGAAGCAGGCTTCCCCCCAAGCAAGGAGCCCAATGTGGGACTCAATCCCACATGACCCAAGCCGAAGGCAGCCACTTAACCCACTGAGCCACCCAGGTGTCCCAAGACTCTGGATTTTTTTTTTTTTTAAAGATTTTTATTTATTTATTTATTTGACAGAGAGAGAGATCACAAGTAGGCCGAGAGGAAGGCAGAGAGAGAAGAAGGGAAGCAGGCTCCCTGCCGAGCAGAGAGCCCGATGCGGAGCTCGATCCCAGGACCCTGGGATCATGACCTGACCCGAAGGCAGAGGCTTAACCCACTGAGCCACCCAGGCACCCCGACTCTGGATTTTTTAAGTGAAATTTCTGTTAAGCTGGTTTATATGGGCACTGCTCTAGCAGAGTAAATCAGGATGTTACCTCATTACTGCCAGGTGGGAGTAGATGTTCAGGTTTCCACTCTGCTTCCACTGATACCTGAGATGGGAAGAGGTTCCTTGTTATTACTGGGCTGTGGGGAGTTGTGGCCCCCAAAAGAGTGTCCACTTGATACTACCCTTGCTGGAAGGAGTAGGAATGCCTTGTTACTGCTTACTACATGGCTTCACTGTCACTGGAGTGGGGGAGGCTTCTTTACCACTGTATGGTAGTGACTTCCTACTTGGCTTCCCTTTTAGTTTCTTCTAGATACTGCAAATAGGTGTCATTACTGCCCACAGGGATGAAAGTCCTATATCCCTACTCAGTCTTTACTGGTAGGTAGAGTTGGGGCACAGTTTTTTTTGGGTTGTGTTTAGCTATGGTAGAGTGGTTATTATCTAAAAGTTTTCTGTCTTGTGAGTTGATCCTTTCCTGTTTGGATAGAAGGAACAGACTTTTGTTGGTCCTTTTTTGGTCTGTGCCTGTTAGTATTTCTTAGCTGCTGGCTTCTTTAACTCCAAGTCTAGGCTATATGAAGGCATATAAGATAACTCACAGAGTTTACCACTGTGTTATTTTTGGGTCCTGGTTCCCTAGCTTGTCTGCCTTCTCTCCACCTTTCAGAATGTTCATTTATGCATTCGTTTTCTTTTTAAAAATATATATTATATCTGGTGTTTTTATTTTGATATTTTCTTAGTGAGAGAAATGAGGAAATGAGGAAATGGAAGTTCCACAGCAGAGTTTTATTTTTTTAAATTTAAATTCAGTTAATTAACATATAATATATTGTTTCAGGGGTACAGGTCTATGATTCATCCGTCATATGTAATGTCTAGTGCTCATTACAATACATACTCACCCCATTGTCCATCACCCAACCACCCATCCCTCCCAACCCATTCCCCTCCAGCAACCCTCAGTTTGTTCCCTGAGATTAAGTCTCTCATGGTTTATCTCCCTCTCTGGTTTCGTCTTTGATTTTTTCCTCTCTTCCCCTATGATCCTCTGTCGTCTTCTTTCTTAAATTCCACATATCAGTGAGATCATATGATAATTGTCCACAGCAGAGTTTTAAAAACATTTTTACATGGTTTAAAGCACTGCAGTTATAGTGCTCCATATTCTTTCAGTGAATAGAACTATGTGTGCGAAATTGTTGTAAGTATATGATGCAAAAACAGGCTTAGATTTTCTATATGTTTTCATCTTGATTAAGCACCACTTACACGTCTTACCAGTAATTCTAATGTCAATCCTTACCATCAATAAACTTACACTGTGAGATGTCTCATTGTGATACTCTGGTATCAGAGAAGTGAAGATAAAATAGCGTTCAGAAATTTTGCAACAGGGTATAACCACATTATATTAGTAAAATATTATACAAATATTTTATAGTTTATAATTAAATGTAAAGTATAAGTGAAATATAAAATATATGAACTAAAAATGGCAGCTACATCATGACTTGGAAAAAAGTATGTAGTTAGGAATATAGTTAATTACCATCAAAAATGCCATAGTAATTAATCCAACAACTGTGAGGTCTTAGTTTAGTTATTTTTTTAATGAGATCTGAAGTAATGATGGTTGCCATATCTCTTATAAAAGTAGGAAAACAAAATATTTTTTATTTCAAATGTTCAGTGATATAATTTTATTTTAGAACATTTAAAAATATTTGTGATTAAATTTAGCTAGTTTTTTTTCCTGCAGTTATAGCCTTTCATATATGAAAGCTTTTTTAACATGTCAATTTTCACTGTAGCCAATTGATAGAATTTGTGTTTATCCTAAAGAACCATGGCGTAGTCACAATAGATGATCTTAATTGTAATAGTGTTACAGTTCTTTATTACATTATAAACTTTAACTTTTTTTAGGTACAGTGAAGGCGAAATTCGATTTAACTTAATGGCCATTGTGTCTGACAGAAAAATGATATATGAACAGAAGATAGCAGAGTTACAAAGACAACTTGCTGAGGTTTGTGACCACATTTTTAAGTGCAAAGTTCTAGTTCAGTTGTCTCAGGAAAGGTATTCTTTCTCTCTTTGTTCTTTCTCTTTCTTTATCCGATCTCTTTGTTTTTTTTCTTTCTCTGTTATTTCTTTTTCTTTTCTTTCTTTCTCTTTCTCTCTCTTCCTCCCTTCCTTCCTTCCTTCTTGATTTAATCAAGTGTCCTGAGTGGTGATGAAGAGAACACACTCTGGAGTCAGGCTGCCTAGATTTAGCTCCTGGCTTTGCCACTTAGTGGATGTATGAATTGGAATATACTTCTTTGTGCTTCAGTTTCCTTCTCCCTTCCTCCCTCCTTCCCTCCCTCTCTCTCTTTCTTTCTTTTTGGAGAGAGAGAGAGAGAGTACGTGCACCTGAGTGGTAGGGGACCAGGGAGAGGGAGAGAGAATCTTAAGTTCCGTGCCCTGCATGGAGCCCATGAAGTCTTCATCTCATGACCCTGAGATCACCACCTGAGCCTAAATCAATAGTCAGTGGTTTAACTGACTGAACCACCCAGAAGCCCCTGTGCTTCAATTTCTTAAAGTAAAATGAAGTGAATTGTATTTACCTTAGAAGGCTGTTGTGAGGATTAACTGAGATGATATATGTAAGCAACTTAGACTGACAAACATTACATGCTAAGTAAGTGTTAGCAATTAACTATTTAGTTTCATTATGAAATTGAGCAAGTTAGAATATATTTCTCACAGAATTAATTGGGTACATTTAGATTTACATGTAATCTTTACTAGTCTATGTAATTGTTTTTTTGTTGTAATTACGATTGGAGAAGATAATTGGTAATAATATCTTCTTTACATTCCTTAGGTGACATTTTCTTAATAGCATATTCAAGCATTTTGTGGCTGAATAAAAGATTATAGCACTATAGTATATTGCAGTATAGATTTTTTTTAGGTAAAAATTCATGTGTTATTGTAGAACATAGAAATATGGAAAGTACTTCTTAGGGCTTTTGTCCTTTAACATTGCAATTAGACTGGTATTCTGTCACCAGTATTAAGAGTAAAATTTGAGGGGCGCCTGGGTGGCTCAGTTGGTTGGGCATCTGCCTTTAGCTCGGGTTGTGATTCTGGGGTCCTGGGATTGAGTCCCACATGGGACTCCTTGCTCAGTGGGGAGTCTGCTTCTCTGCTAACATGTCTCCTCTCATTCTCTCTCTCTCTCTCTCAAATAAATAAAATCTTTATAGAGAAGGAAGGGAAAAAAAGTAAAATTTGAAAATAATTGTACTGTGTTATCATTTTAAAATAGTTTGGATTCAAGCCTCAATTATTAGGGTATGCTGTTTTTTTTTCTTTACCCTAAGGAGGAACCCATGGATACAGACCAGGGTAGTAATATGTTAAGTGCTATTCAGTCAGAGGTTGCCAAAAACCAGATGCTTATTGAAGAAGAAGTACAGAAACTAAAAAGATATAAGGTATGTTTTCTATTTTATTTGTTCCTTTGTTTTAATTTAGAGTAGTATATTTTGACATGAAGATATGTTGAATACGTGATTGTTTTACCCATCATTTACTAGTTTTCAGAATAATGACTTGGTTCCTTGGCACCCCACAAAGGTAACTAGTGAGGTTTCTTTCTTTTGATTTTTTTTTTTGAAGTATCATTATGAACAAATTTTTAACCTATCTGATGCTTCAGTTCACTGCAATAAATGATCAAATTGTCTTATCTTTGGCTATTAGGATCCACTTCAAGTCCTAAGTCCTTTTGATATGATTCTCTTCATCTTTGATAGCTTCCTTGATTTCCAGTATGACAAGATGTTTCAGACTCCTCTTGTACATTTCCTACTTCAGACTTGGATTAGCCATTTTTTTTAAGAAGCCTTGGGTTCTTTTGGTGGGAAATATTATTTAGAAACCACTATTTGGGTGCTCAGTGATCCTGATTAGTCATTATGTCTAGGCCTTTTCAAAGCTAAGGAATGCATTTTTGTTTGCCTCTTATTTTAGTTTTGTAGAGAAAACAGAATGTGAATTTGTACAATGTGAATTTACTCTTCAAATTTAGAAATAAAGGGCTTAGGGCACCTTACTGGCTCAGTTGTTAGAGCATGAGAGTCTTGATCTCATGTCATGAATTCAGGCTCCATCCCATGTTGGATGTGGAGCCTACTTTAAAAAGAAAGAAAAAATGAATTAAAGGGCTTTCTACTTGAAATTAACCATTTGCATTTCTTCTTTTAAGCTGAAAGTCTTGATGCCTAACAATATTAACATAATGACTTGTTTTCTTTATGATATATATATATATATATATATATATATATATATAAAACCTATGGATATATATAGAAAGGTTCAGAGTAGCAATACTAGTGTTAATAACAGCACAGTTTTTTCTGAAGTTTATTTTTTTCCTTAGGGTATACCCCATTTTGGTTATACAGTCAAATTACTATTTTTAAATTCACTTGAAAAAGTTTTCCTCTTGATGTGGTTCTGTCACCAATTTTTTCTTGGTGTGGTTATATATCACCAATGCACAGTTGGATTCATTTGTTTTATTTTCCTTTCCATTTATTTAGGGTTTTTAAAAAACTTTTAATTTAATTTTAATTATGGCAAACATTTGTATAATTCAGAGTCAAATATAAAGCAAGTCTGTCTTTAAGAATGTCATTCTCTTTCACTTGCAATCTGGTAAGCTTTTTTCAGAGAGAGCAAAGAGTAAAAGGAGCTTTGAATTTTGCATAAGTTTGGAAATGGTAGTTATGTCATTTCTCATGTGTATCAAAATCATTGTTATTCATTTGAAGCTCAGTTGAAGGCAAGAATTTTTTATTGCTCACTAAAGCGTTAGCATGGTGTTTCGCATCATACTTGCCAGCCAATAAATGACTGTTAAATTAAATAAATGAACCTTGGACTGTAGGATTTCTTCAGTTTAAAGTAGTAGGGGTTGGTTCCAGAGAATTCCAAGTTCATGGAGATAGGAAAGTAAGGGATGAAAGTTTAGATATTTATCTTCCATTTTATGTGGTATACAAAAATAAGTACCCAACACTTACATATTCTTAATGCAGGGTTATTCCATCACTAAGTTTTAATATTAGCCTAAGATAAAATACAGATTAAGTTTTCAGAATCTTTACCTGCTACATTGCTTGAAAATGTCTGTTCAGAAAGGTAAAACGATTCTCTTACTGCTATAATATGAACATGTGTTAAGATTTTATTTAATTCATTAATTAATTGAAGGAACCTGTAAGATGTCACAACTAGTTAAAATAAGTTAAAGCAGCTTAAATTTATATGAACTAAAGGAATGCTGAATTTACTAAAAATGTAAACTGTCTTTTTTTCCTATGAGAAAAGAAAGTAAATTGAACCTCTGCCAGACAGATTATTTTATAGCTGAAAGGGCAGTAACAAACTAGAATCACGTAACTTGGGAGGGGTGCTCTAGACAATGCATGGTTTTCACTTGAAGTACAGATCTGTCCCTACAGTCTATCTTCTTGATTAAAAGTAATTGAAAGAAAGATTATTCTTGATCACAAAATAAAGCTGGTTTCTTTAGGTATGGCCTGATTATTTGTATAGTTGTAGTAGTAAGAGCATTAATTTATCATGTGGGCTTTTTTTTTTTTTTTAATTTAAATTTTTTTTTTAAATTTTATTTTTTATAAACATATAATATATTTTTATCCCCAGGGGTACAGGTCTGTGAATCGCCAGGTTTACACACTTCACAGCACTCACCATAGCACATACCCTCCCCAATGTCCATAATCCCACCCCCTCCTCTCCTAACCCCCCTCCCCCTCTCCCCCCCACCACCCCCCAGTTTGTTTTGTGAGATTAAGAGTCACTTATGGTTTGTCTCCCTCCCAATCCCATCTTGTTTCATTTACTCTTCTCCTACCCCCTTAACCCCCCATGTTGCATCTCCTCTCCCTCATATCAGGGAGATCATGTGATAGTTGTCTTTCTCCAATTGACTTATTTCGCTAAGCATGATACCCTCTAGTTCCATCCACGTTGTTGCAAATGGCAAGATTTCATTTCTTTTGATGGCTGCATAGTATTCCATTGTGTATATATACCACCTCTTCTTTATCCATTCGTCTGTTGATGGACATCTAGGTTCTTTCCATAGTTTGGCTATTGTAGACATTGCTGCTATAAACATTCGGGTGCACATGCCCCTTCGGATCACTTCATGTGGGCTTCTTAAATTTACTTTCCTCTTAAGTTTTCATAAATAATTTTAGATTTTTAGAAGTGTTATTTGTTAGGCCAAGAGTAGGAAGCCACACCCAAGAAAGTCACATGTTTTGTTGTATTAGTCTTTTTTCTCATGGAGATGAAATCTCATTATTTCTAATATTTTTTCTTGTGAGAATGGAAGATTTACTCCCATTTCTGTTTTGAGTTGGATGCAAAGATCAAAATGTCAGAAACTTAGTGTGGTTTGATATTTGTTTTATTTTCAGATTGAAAATATCAGAAGGAAGCATAATTACCTGCCTTTCATTATGGAATTATTAAAGACTTTAGCAGAACACCAACAGTTAATACCACTAGTAGAAAAGGTATGTATTTTACTGATGAATACTTAAATTAGATTTAGATTCCCCCAAAACAAGATAAACATCTTGACTTGAGTAGAGGTAAAATTTGTTGAAGCATTCCCATTTTAATTTTTTTTTGCTTTTAGCTATTATTTTATATTCTAGATGAGAATTAGTTCAACCTGATATTGTAAAGTAAAAATAAGGAATTGTCCCACTGCTTTAGCCGTCCTGAATCCTTAGTGTTAAGAACTTAGGTTGTACCTAATATTAGAATAAAATTTTAAAATTTTCCTGTCTGTAAGCTGAAAGCAAAAAAATATTTTTTAAAGATTTTATTTATTTATTAGAGAGTAGTGGGGAGGGTCAGAGGGAGAGGGAGAGAGAATCTCAGGTGGACTCCACCCTGAGTGTAGAGCCTGATGCATGGGGCTTGATCTCATGACCCTGAGATTGTGACCTGAGCCAAAACTAAGAGTCAGACACTTAATTGACTGAGCCACCCAGGTGCCCCTAAGTTAGTTGAAAGCAAATTTTTTTTTTTAAGTTTTTTTTTTTTTTAAGATTTTATTTATTTATTTGACAGAGATCACAAGTACACAGAGAGGCAGGCAGAGAGAGAGGAGGAAGCAGGCTCCCCGCTGAGCAGAGAGCCCGATGTGGGGCTCGATCCCAGGACCCTGGGATCATGACCTGAGCTGAAGGCTGAGGCTTTAACCCACTGAGCCACCCAGGCGCCCCGAAAGCAAATTTTTAATGTTAAAGATTGAAACAGGGGACGCCTGGGTGGCTCAGTTGGTTAAGCAGCTGCCTTCGGCTCAGGTCATGATCCCAGCGTCCTGGGATCGAGTCCCACATCGGGCTCCTTGTTCTGTGGGGAGCCTGCTTCTACCTCTGCCTCTGCCTGCCACTCTGTCTGCCTGTGCTCTCTCTCTCTCTCTCAAAAAAAAAAAAAAATAAAAATAAAAATAAAGATTGAAACAGATTTCTTGTCATTTATATTAGGAAAAATTTGGATTATCATGTAATTTAAAACTTGAGTGGACACTGAAGGGGGAAAAATAACTATAGCTTAGACTAAGAAATGTTTTTTTTAAAATACGTTCCTAAGCTAGTATTCCTTCCCCCGAAAGAAAGCTCACATACGTTTGTGAAAAATGCTGATTTCTAAGATTTTTTTCCTTCAATATAAGGCACTTAAATAAAATAATTGCATAGTTGCAATGCAGTTAAATTGTTTTTAAGTTTATACTGTAAGTCAGTGTTTCTGAAAGTGACCATTGCTGGATACTCTTTAAAATACGTGTTACCTGGCCCCTCCTCAGCTCTTCTCATACAAGGGAAGGAATCTTTAATAAGTTACCCCAAGTGACTCTAATGCAGCTGGTTTGTGTACTACATTTTGAGAAATACTTTAAAAAGACACTACTAGGCAAATAAAATTTTGGACCGTTAAGAGCAGAGTACATGGTTGGTATGTTTCTCATTAATTTTAAACTTTCTGAAGCAAAGATACATTTCAACCCAGCTTTTTTTATATCATCATAAACAAAAGGAAATGAGACAGTGTTTTTGTGTATACCTTATTACCTGGATCCTGAAACATGTGTGCTTCTGCTTTTGCACTTAGTGTACAAATTATTGCAGAAAACTGCTAAGTCTACTGTTTTCCATACGGATTTTCTGTTCATGTATCCCAGGGTGTTAAAGTATAAAATTCTAAGATGGGAAACTGATTTTAAAAGTTTTAAATTAACAATTAGGCTTCTGTGATTCTCAAGTTCCTAAATACTGTGTTCTTTGTATGAAACAGTATGAAATATTTCTTTATTAAAAATATTAAAATAATAATAATATACCATTGTGTTAAATCATATGATCTGTTGCATCAGATTCTAACTATAGATAAATATTACTAGAGGCCAGACAAATGTTATTAGAGAAATTTAAAATGTATATTTTGCTTTGAAATTGGCCTGTGGATAAACTTTTTGATGCAAATTAGGAAAACAACCATTTTTGTTTTTTAATGACTATATCCCCAGATTTTTTTTTGAAAGCATAGTTGGGAGAATAAGCATTGGAACCGTAATTTCTTGCTTCACATTTTGGACACAGGGTGGCAGTGTATGAATGCCTTGTGTTAGTGGGACACCAGCTCAGTGTGTTCTTGTGTTTGCATCTTTTTTTGAAGGGATAGTTACTCATCTACGTTTTGCCTATTTCTTCAGACTATTCTTTGATTAATAATATTGGATAAGCAATATTGAAGTTATGTTTATTCCTTGTGTATATGCAATATCTGTTATCCCCTAAGGAATTCCTTTAAAGGAATCAGTCTGTTATACCCTAAGGAATGTCCCCTAAGGAATATAAAGAAATTCAGATGGATTATTTGATTAAAATTTTTGAAATTTTAAAGTTAGTCAAACATTTATCTAGCTTTAACTATATTCCAGGACTTCTTAAAGTCTGTAGATGTACATATAATTAAGACACATTCTTCTCTCTTAAGCAGTTCATGATATAGTTAGGGAAAGGAATAAATAATTATAGTATTGTGCTGAATAGGATTGTTCTGGTAAGTGCCAGAATCAATTCATGCTGAAGATCCTGGGGGAGCACAGAGTAGCTCTTAAATAGCTTTATGCCACTTGAAGTTTCACAGCCACAAAATTTTAAATCCGTGGTTAGAATCAATATTCTCGACCAATAAATCAGCTTCCTTAACCACAAATGTATTCATCTCATTTTGAAAAAAAAAAAAATCATTGTATCATACTGAATATCACTTTCTGCAGATAAACACAAATGTTACAAATAAAAAAAAAATAATGAGATTTTGTAATTATAATACAAAAACTTTAACAGTGATAATTGCTTAATAGTACTACTTCTAAGAAAAATAACATGTAGAATACAGAAATGGATAAGTTGAAATTACTCAGAATTAGTAAGTTTAACTGTTCTTTCCCCCCCCCAGCCCCCTATGCCAAGGGAAAATAATAAAAGAATAAAGCATAAAAGAGGGAGAGGGAATCAAAGAAGAAAGATGTGGCTACTCTTGGCAGTGAGGTAAATGCCAAACCTGTCCAAGATCAGATCCTTGAGTAACTGAGATAGTTGCTTCGAGCCTGTGATTGCATAAAAATATTTACGTTTGAAAATCTTTTTATTTTATAGAATAATAAAGAAAAGATCAAGACTTTGATTCTCCTGAAGCCATATGGCTATAATGAATTAGGTTAAGATCTAGCCTTATAAGTATTTTTGTTACGTGAGGCTTCTAATCTCCTGAGGCGTTGAATATGCATTACGTAAGAACTGCTCAGGAAATAACCTAAAAATACATAGTTATAAAACTTTTTGTGCCATATACCAAATCTATTTCTTAAAGTATAAAATCAGCTAGATGAAAATTTCATTTGTGAAACTTTTACTGAGTTCAGGTATACTTATAATTCTTTTAATATTTTTATCTTAACTTAGTAATTCTGGATCATTGTCTATTCCAGGTTTTTAACAATCACCCATAACCTACCATAATGTAAAATCATAGATTCCGTTGCCCTGGGGGATTCAAAGCACCTTCACAATGTTGAATTTTGTCCCCATTTTACTAAGACATTACAATTCAATTGGTAATAATCTTAGAACTTACTTCTTCTATTCCTTAATGGAAATAAGATAGAAGAACAGTTGGTATTCCCAATGATATCTACATTGATATCTATGGTTACAGAATTATCCACTTGGGTCAGTGTATTTTGATACTTCATTGGCATACTGTATAGAACATAACAATGTACCTTTTTTCCATACTATTTAGAAATGTAATATTGTTTTTTATTTTTAACAAAGTCTGAACTTTCAGTTTAGTATATAGGCTTTGGGTTTTAAATTGCAGATATGTTATTAGCTGGTGCTTTTAGGCAAGTTATTATAGTTTCTATTTCTTCATCTATAAATTAGGAATCATACCTACTTCACATTCTTCAGGACTAAATGAGAGCATATCTATAAAGTACATAAATAAGTCCTCAATAAATGGTAATAATTATTTTTAACTTATTTCACTTATTTTTATCTGAATTATATAGTTTAATAAATGTATGCACACTCTGCATTATATGTCTGCTCATTTAATTATGTTACAAAGTTTACGTTATAAACCAGTAAGTTTATTTTTGTTAATCCTACTAAACATTCTATATGTTCAGAGTATATTCAGAGATCAATATGGGAAAAATACATATTTTTATTTCAAATTATATCTGAAATTAAATTTTATTTTTATTATTTAGAAGCAGAGCTTCTTTGTTAAAAATTATATACATATCAGGGCACCTGGGTGCCTCAGAGGGTTAAGCCTCTGCCTTCAGCTCAGGTCATGATCTCAGGGTTCGGGGATCGAGCCCCATAGCGGGCTCTCTGCTCAGCAGGGAGCCTGCTTCCTCCTCTCTCTCTGTCTGCCTCTCTGCCTACTTGTGAATTCTCTCTCTGTCAAATAAATAAATAAAATCTTTTAAAAAAATAAAAATTATATACATATCAAATTATAAATTATGCTTGTTAACTAAAAATGTTTATGTAAGCAGTTTTATATAGTACATATATTTCCTTTTAATATATTCTTAGGAATAACACTATTTCATCGTATAGCTGTATGATAATTATACTACCTAATACATTATAAAAATATTATAGTTCTAATTACCCTATTTTTTCCATGTAAGGAAGTTTTTTTTCTTAGTTGCATAATAGCAAAACTCTATTCCTTTTTGATTCAAGTGGCATAGTGGAAAGAACATTATATTGTAGTTCTCTAAAATCTTATTTCTCAAAGTGTCATCTGAAGACCAGCGGAATTGGTATCCCCTAAAAAGTTGTTATAAATTTAGAATCTCAGGCATTTTATTGAACAGCATTATAACAGGGTACCCAGGTCATTGGTATGTACATTGAAAAGCACCACTATAGAACAGGTGTCTTTTGACCTCTTGCGGTTTTATTTTATACTAGCGGTGTGACTTTTTTCAAGTGTGATATCTATAAGCTCTGTCTTCATCTGCTGAAAAATAAAATAGAGTTACTGGGTTCAAGCTATATAATTGTTATGAGGATCAAATGAAATAAGTATGAGAGCATTTTTCTTAGGTTCTATAAGTAAATTTTATTAATAATACAGATATGTGATCCTTTAGTGATATTCTATTAAACCCAACTATGCAGAAACTAGTATTTTTCTTATACTCAGTTTGAATGAGAAATGGGCACATAGGTAAATATATTGTTTTGAAGCATTTATGAATAGGTATGACTTTGTGGAATGAGTAATTATGTAAATTGAAATTATTACAATTATAATACATTTCAGTTGCGGATAAGAAAGAACTGTAAACCAAAACATGATCCTTTTTTACTGAGGGACAGAGCATAACTATAATTTGTCCAGCAATAGTATGTTGCAAGTCTCGAGTTATGAAAGCTAATGCTCTAGAAATCTTAAAAACAATGAATTTCAAGTCTTTCAGCTTAAGTATGCCCATGTACACACATTTTAACATGATCTAAAATGGACTTTTAAGATTTTATAGAATACTATCTTTAACTTCTAGGCAAAAGAAAAACAGAATGCAAAGAAAGCACAGGAAACCAAATGAAGACGACGCTTTGGGATGCATACATATTTCTGCTTCCGCACTTATTTTCATGGAAACCATTAAGTATAAAGAACTTTGAGCAACATTCTAATTGACTCAATGCACGTTTGGCAATAGTACCAGTCTGTCTTGTCTTTAATGCATGGATTCTTTCCCAGCCTGCATCATGTGCATGTAGTGCATATTAAATAAAAGTGATCATAAGAGTGCTTGCCCAAATTCCATTATTTGACATTGGATCCAAGAACTTCTCTTATAGATAAGAGAAGTTCTGGGTATATACTATCATGATGAACATAGAAATTGCATAAATGATATTCTCTACCTGTAATTATTATAATCAATCTCTCGATCTTTTAGCTCAGTTACATGTTTAAAATTTATGAATGTCAGATCTTGATTAAATTAGATCTCTTGTTTCTCATCATTAATGAAAAAAATCAGTATTTGTCTATTATATCTAAACATTTTGAGGATTTTAAAACTGAATTTTATCTTGAGAAAGTATGGTTTTAATGCAGATCATTTGAAAAAGACAAAAGTACAGTTTCTAGTGATTTTCATTGCTGCCAGAAGAAAAATTAATAAACATTCAGTTTATTTTAGCAGAATTTTTAAGTGTTTGGGGTTATTTATTTATGTATTATTAGAATAATTTTAGGAAGGTATGAGTATTATGCTTCAAAGTAGAATTTCAGGTTAAGAATAAATGATAAATCTTAAAAGATTTTTGGTGTTACTCTCAGTCTGGTAGCATTTTCTGGCTGCTAAGCTGTATATAAAAAAATCAGAGTTTTGACAGTTTAGGCTATCTGCTTTTTAAAAAAATAGGATGTGGTGGTAGAAGATCCTTCTTTGCCAATTTGAATGAAATTGGTACAGCCCAATAGTTTCAAGAACCATGTACAGTCTGCTCACAGTGGATTTTTAAAAATAACTTTTGGGATTTGCTTTTTTTAATTTTATGGAATAATTGTACTCTTGCTCCTAATCTTTTCGCAGTTAAACTTTAAAGGGCATTTTATGGAACTTCTCTTTAGAAAGGAAACTATCTAGTTTTTTTTTTTTTTTAACTAGATACATTTTTGAAATTGATGCGTGACTTTTTAACAGTTTATTATGGAAAAGTTTAAACATGAAGGGGGACTGTGTATTCATCTTCTGGCTTCAAACACGTGAATTTTTTTTAAGGATTATTTTAAAACTTACTACACTGTAGTATTACTAAGTAACTAATGTGAAAAAATCTGGTGGGAATTGAGTAGAAAAATTAATAAAATATTTTTCACACATAATTTCGGTTGAAAATAATAAAGAAGAATTTGTAGTTTTTCATTTGTTTGTGGGTAAATATATTTTGCTCTGGATACAGTAGTAATTATGGAGTGTTTTCAAAACCATGATACAATTTTGAAAACTGATTTCTTAAGGATTATTTTAGGCTCCTCTTGATCCCATGCAATTATTTCAACTTAATTTATATACCCTGTTTTTGTTTTTGTTTAAAGATTTTTTAGTTTGGAGTGATCTCTACACCCAGCGTGGGGGCTTGAACCACAATCCTGAGATCAAAAGTTGCATGCTCTACTGAATGAGCCAGCCAGGTACCCTTATATACCCTATTTTATAGAGGCTTAAATTTTGTAAAGCAATACAAGGAATATTGTAGTCAATAGTATCCAGCCATCAAGACAATATGATACTAGCATAAGGATCAACAACAAATTCAATCAGTGGAATCAGAAGAGAGCCTATAAACAAATCCACCTTTATATGGTTACCTGATTTTTGACAAAGGTTGCAAAGCAATCCAACAGAGAAGGAAAGTCTTTTCAATGAGGCCAGAACAGCTAACCCTCCATGTGGAAAAGAAATGAACCAAGTCCCCCTTCCTCACAAAAAAGAATTTGAGGTGGATCATTGACCTTCATTTAATAGCTAAAGTACAAAGGTTTTTAGAGGAAAACGTAGGTGAAGATCTTTGTGACTTGAGTGTAGCCAAAGGTTTCTTAGGTCACAGAAAGCAATAACCATAAGAGATCCAAAATTTCTTTATAAAAATTAAAAACTTGTCATTGAAAGATGCTTTTAACAAGAGTAACCAGTATCAAATGACATTAAAAAATAGCTTTATAAAACTGTTAATAGGTGTAAGGATATTTTCTTACTAATCTAATTCTAATAAAATTCTTTGATAGGAATTTCCATAGCTTAAGAACGGTTTCTTTTATCTGCTTCTTCTTCGATAAATGTAAATGCATTGTGATCCTTCATGATAATGTCTGCCAGTGAATAAAGAAATACAATTTGTCTTTGTCTGGGTCTTAAGTCATGAAGCTGGTGGGTAGAGAAAATGGATGAATGAAGAGCAATCCAGAAATGTATAAATGTCAGTTATGTGGGAAGTTTTTTTCTTTTTTAAAAAGGTGTATTGACAGGAGTATTTAAAAGAAAGTCTCCTTTGTTCTTTTCACTTTTGCCCTTTATTTTCTGAAATCTCATTTAATGCTTGGATAGGTGAAGGCACTTCCATTCTGTTTTGTGCCTTTTAAAATAACGAGCCAATTTTTTTTTAAAGATTTTATTTATTTATTTGACAGAAAGATCACAAGTAGGCAGAGAGGCAGGCAGAGAGAGAGGGGAGGAAGCAGAGAGCCCACTGAGCAGAGAGCCCGACACAGGGCTCGATCCCAGGACCCTGAGATCATGACCTGAGCCGAAGGCAGAGGCTTTAACCCACTGAGCCACCCAGGCGCCCCAATAACGAGCCAATTTTAAGCAATATACTTTTGCTATCATAAACACAGAAAGCTTGCCAACAGCTGCTGCACTGGCTAGTCTCACCTCATATGTTTAGTTCCCAAGATAGCTGCCCTTTTTCTAACAGAGAGCAGTCAGCTTGACTGTGCCACTAGAATAGACAAATATTTGTTCTTAGATCATGAACCATGGGGACTTGCTCCCCTATTTAGACCATGATACATACTCTGCGTATATGATGGTGTTAACATGCAGATTAATAACTTCTGTTAATCTAGTTGCCTAAAACATTTCAAGATACATTCAGAAATCACTCCTTTCCCCCTCCCCATAGGAGGATTCTGTGTCTTTTGGGGAAAAAAAGGCTTTTAAGGTTTTTCCTTTAAAAAAATTTAAAGAAAGATAAGCAAAAATAAAATTTAAATTACCCATCGTTCTACTATCAGGGATGACTGCGTTGACATTTTAGTGTATTTAGTGATTCTTTTTTTCCCTGTATGGGTGCATTTTTGTGTTTGCATGCCTGCATATTCCAAAATAGCTTTATGTAGTATACGTTATTTTTAAAACAGATGATATGCAATTTATCATTTTTGTTTCATTGACAACTTACTTGCAAGAAACAAACTACTCCAGCTATTTAAAGAAGAATGGGGTTATAAGAGCATTTTGAAACTTAGTTTGTTAGAGGGTTATTGGAAGATACGGAAGAGTAAGCTCAAGTTTGGGTTTCCAGGAATGACTCCCAGCAAAACTTAGTTACTGGCAAACTAGCAGAACTGCTACATCTGCAGCAGTCAAGGGGTTCCCCACTGGACTCCCTGCAGGTGCCGCAGTCTGGGAATGAATGTGCTGCAACTTTGTGTTGTCACGTGGTGACTATACGCTAGAACTGGAAAGAAATTCAGCCTCTCCACAGTTAAACACTCAGAATAGCGAAAGCCACTCAGAATAAATTCTGCCACTCAAAATAGCTAAAGCAACAGGCCTTACTTTTGACTTTCAAAACTTACATTAGGTTTTCTGCAAAGGAATCTAAGAAATGAGTTTTTAGCTCTCCAGTTTCTGCAGAGTAAGAAGGCATTTTAGTAGGAGGCTGGCAAGTCCACTCAATCACACATTATTACATTCCGCTACAGTAACAATTTTTTCTTTTTATAGGAGTAATACATGTTTACTTTAGAGAAATGAGAAAATACAGAAAAGAAAAATATGAAAATAAAATCTAATCCTATTACCCAGAGATAATCACTGTTAGTGTTCTGATGTATATCTCCCCAGAGAATGTGTTTATACTCACACATGTAATAGATACTTTAGTTTTTATGAAAGAGGGATTACAATTAAATATTTTGTTGCATGCTTCCCAGCTCCTACAAACTGCTCATATTAATAAATGTGCTTGTATCATAGCTTTTTTTTTTTTAATGGTTGCTTAGTATTCCAATAGATAAGTCTGCTCTGTTGTATTTAATAAGCCCCTAGTAGTGTGGAGTAAAGCATAGAAATAAATTGGGCAAACCAGATAGTTTGATTTTGGGGGGAGGAATTTATTTTTTATTTTTATTTATTTATTAAAAGATTTTATTTATTTATTTGACAGAGAGAGAAGTCACAAGTAGGCAGAGAGAGGGAGGCAGAGATAGAGAAGGGAAGCAGGCTCCCTGCTGAGCAGAGATCCCAATGCGGGCCTCAATCCCAGAACCCTGAGATCATGACCTGAGCCAAAGGCAGAGGCTTAACCCACTGAGCCACCCAGGTGCCCAGGAATTTATTTTTTAAACTGACATGAATTCCTAGGTCTGTCAAACATGAATGTTATTCAGTTTGTTCTTTTTCTTAACATTTCTTTAACATTGGCTTAAATCCAATGACTGAGAGGTCAAAGAGTCACCACTTCAAGCATACCTAGTATTTTTTATTTTTGACTTTATATTAATGTCTTGAGAATTTCTTTGATAATTTATTCAACATATATCTGAGTTGTTCTAGGTGCTGGAGATGCAGTGGAGAAAAAGATCAAGCCCCTGACATCATGGTAAGAGAGGCAATAGACAAGCCTGTACAATTTTTCAAGTACTGGTAAGACTATAAAAAAAACAGGTCAAAAGAATGGAGGGAGGTAAGGGTTGATAGGATGGCCATGGAAAATACCTTTAAAGAGACGATATTGAAGCAGAGATCTAAATGAAGAGAATATTCTCTGTAGGACTGATTTAGCACTATGAAAGAGGATTGCATATAGGCAGAACCAACATGCAATAATTCTGAATGCTAATTTTTAATAATGTGTAATAGTTAAATGGTTTAGGAAAGTTGATTTGGGGTGATTTTGATTTGATTTTCAATATAAAAATAGGTTGAATAAAAATTACATGTAGAAAAGACTAGGGCCACTGGTCGATGTACTTTCTTAAGCTATCCAGATAGTCTACATAAACTTATGTA